GGGGGGTAACATAAGCATTGTTAAAAAAATTTTCCGGACAAAAGTAAGCAAATGCAAAATTTTTGGACCAAGATGGTCAAAACTTCCAATTTTTTCATCGCAAACGTTACAAAAGCTTTAAAATTTTTAAAGTCGAGAAACATTTCATAACTTTGGGCAACTTCCACCATCTTTTATCCCAAACCTTCACCACATTTTTCAACTATTTATTTCATGGATAACTAACACGTACACGTTGTCTTGACTTTATCTTCTTGCTGTTTTAAAAATAAAAGTGATGGCCAGTTAAAACTACTAAGTAAGTAACAGTGCATAGAAGTTTGGTCTGAAGTTTGACCAAAGTTATTGAGAAACAACAAAATAATCAAATATACAAAACTGTAATAAATATTACCAAATCATAAATCAACAGAGGGTTGATTTATCAACAGAGGTTGATTTATCAACAAATCAACAGAGGGTTGTTTAAAAATAGAAAAGACACCTTTTGGCATGACATCACGGTGAAAGAATCCAGCTTTAATATTAATTAAATTAATTACTGTAAGTAAACGAACATAAACTGACCTATGTTTTTGACAAAAAGCGTGTGCACTATTTATGTTCGAAAAGTTATAAGCACGACGAGTCGTGAAAGAACACATGTTTATGGGAAGGGGAGAGAAAATATACTAGCTATACTTATTGCGGCATATCCCTGATAAAATATAATTAAAACCAAATCCGCCAAATCAGCGGCGCCGGCTATACAATATATTATAGGCGTTACCTGAACAATAAGCGACTGTAAATAGTGTGATTTAGACCTAAATGTAGAAGTAAACGAACGTTAGAAGTAAACGAACATAAACTGACCTATGTTTTTGACAAAAAGCGTGTGCACTATTTATGTTCGAAAAGTTATAAGCACGACGAGTCGTGAAAGAACACATGTTTATGGGAAGGGGAGAGAAAATATACTAGCTATACTTATTGCGGCATATCCCTGATAAAATATAATTAAAACCAAATCCGCCAAATCAGCGGCGCCGGCTATACAATATATTATAGGCGTTACCTGAACAATAAGCGACTGTAAATAGTGTGATTTAGACCTAAATGTAGAAGTAAACGAACGTTAGAAGTAAACGAACATAAACTGACCTATGTTTTTGACAAAAAGCGTGTGCACTATTTATGTTCGAAAAGTTATAAGCACGACGAGTCGTGAAAGAACACATGTTTATGGGAAGGGGAGAGAAAATATACTAGCTATACTTATTGCGGCATATCCCTGATAAAATATAATTAAAACCAAATCCGCCAAATCAGCGGCGCCGGCTATACAATATATTATAGGCGTTACCTGAACAATAAGCGACTGTAAATAGTGTGATTTAGACCTAAATGTAGAAGTAAACGAACGTTAGAAGTAAACGAACATAAACTGACCTATGTTTTTGACAAAAAGCGTGTGCACTATTTATGTTCGAAAAGTTATAAGCACGACGAGTCGTGAAAGAACACATGTTTATGGGAAGGGGAGAGAAAATATACTAGCTATACTTATTGCGGCATATCCCTGATAAAATATAATTAAAACCAAATCCGCCAAATCAGCGGCGCCGGCTATACAATATATTATAGGCGTTACCTGAACAATAAGCGACTGTAAATAGTGTGATTTAGACCTAAAACTACCTAGCTAAGGTAGTTTTGTAGGCCTAGGCTTGTTTGCTTGAAGAAATAAACGCTTTTGACAAGCTCTTTGGTTATTTATTTATTTATTTATTTATTTATTTATTTATTTATTTAGCTTTGCCAACTAGGGCAGGGTCACCACAACAGCATATGCCAATTACTGTGGGCCCTTTTTACCTAACCCACCCTGTCAACTTTCCCTGTGGGAGGAAACCGGAGTACCCGGGGAAAACCCACAGCTTTCGGCAGAGCGTTGACTTTTACTCTTTTCACATGGGGACTGGGTTCGAGTCGCACTGAGAAGGTACTTAGTGAGACTCGAACCTGCAGCCTCAGAGGTGAAAGGCAAGTGCGCTAACCACTTGGCCACCGAAGCCCCTAAACAAAAAAAGCTAAGCCTAAGAAGCCCCTATTTATTGAACTACATGACTCGACATTGATTACATCACATACGGTATTCGGGTCAAATAGGGGTTACGAAAAAATTCGTCAAAAATTCAATTCTAAGTTGCCCCAAAATTTTATTTGATCAATAGCAAGCGAAAACGTACTTCCTTGACCTGGTTATGAATTTTTTGTCTGAATCGATGTAACAATAGAGATATTCGCTGTCTAATATGGCATATAATAAAGAGGTTCGAAATTAAAAAACATTAAGAAAATCTGTAAAATATTCACTTTTAACAGAAATGTCTCTAAATTTCGTCTGCTACTCAATAAATAACTCTAATTTATAAAATAAAATCATATTTTGTGAAATATTGCTATTATCGTGCAAAATAGAGCGATTTTGATAGTGCCGTAAAATAACCTCTAAAAACAGAAAGTGGCCTGGGAAAACAAATTTCGATGTCTCGCTCCTTCAATATTTATCCGATCGAAATAAAACTTTCACAACATTAATACTTCATATAGGCCCACATTCTGACAAAGTTTGAAAGATTTTGAATTTTCTCATTTTACACGTCTTACCTGACTATTACAGACAACTGCTCTTAAATGTATTTATTGCTCTGGATGTAAGTTATGAAGTTATTTTGTCTCACTAAGATTGTATATATTATAATACATAGGCCTATTTGCTTTCAGGATTTTTTGCTCGAACCTGCACTACAATGAAAATGCCAACCGATCCCAATCAAAGACAGCAGATGGTACTTTGAAATGGTCTGTTGTATTCCCAAAAGCAAATAAGGGGGAAAAAGCAATTGCAAGGCCATTAAAGTCCAAACCTACTTATGGTATTATTACATATTCTATTGCACAAATGATCTCTTGATATCAGAGAAATATTTGTCAGATATCAAATGAATACTTGGGATTTTCGTCAGTCAAATTAATTTTAATTTTTAGATTATTTATCAAAAATACAACAAGAGGTTATACAGCTGAGATGCAAATTTCCATCATTAAAGAAAGCCAATGACCATGCTCATGCAGTCCTACCAGCAAAACCAAGCACAATGGTTGCTAATTACTTGGATGGGAAACCAAGACCAAGCAACGCAGATGTTATTGCTAAACGCCATAGCAAGGAGTCCAAACCAGCAATTCCAGTTGATGGAGTTTGTTGTTCTTGTACAGAAAAATGTGCAACAAAAAGATGCGTTTGCAAGGAAAGTGGCAATTTGTGCTCTTGCAACTGTTCTTGCAATGAAAACAAATGTCTTTATAATTAATTGAGTAATTTGAGTTAATATAACTTCGTCTATAAAAATAGGATTTTTCTCTGCGAAAATACTTTGGGTTGATTATAAAAGTAGTATGCAGTAACCAACATCAACAAAAATAAAAACAAAGCTGAAATCTTTACTTGTTTATAGTCTTGGGATATTTAAAACCAGTATATATGCCATCGGGCGATGAAAACTTTTCCCCGAATAGCTGAATAAATACACGCAGAAAATGGTCGGCGATTCTTCTTCCCAAGATACTCAAAAATCCATCTTGAACATCTATAATACGAAACTATAACCGGAAAATTTTGTGAGTTTTGGCCAATTCATCATCACCAAGCGGCCAGTTTTCTTCCACATATCTACAAGCGTCGATTTTCAGAACGCTTTCGGTTAAAATATTCTGTTGAAAATCGGGCAACTGTGCTATACACGCGTCTCCCAAACTTTCGGCTTGAGAGAGTTTTTCATCGTACTCATCGTACTCCACCGCCTTTTCCTTACAACAAAATTTTTCTAGAGTTTTCGGCATAATTTTGCAATGACCGCATTTGCACCAAGTTAGTGTGGATTTCCGCCAGCTGTTTGCCAGCTCAAATTCTTCATCAATACTCTCGTCTGAGCTAAACGAATCTTCCTCAGAATCATATGAGTGGAATATTAATTCTATTTCTGGCTCAAATTGGTAAGGTAAAATTTCTTTCACTTGATTTTCATGAACTTCTTCCATAATTCCTTACACAAACATCGAAATTATTGAAAACACAAACATTGAACTTACTGTATTGAAGCTTGTTTACCCGCACGTGACGTCACTTCCTTTCACGCTTAATTTTTCGAAATTTGGAAACAAGATGGCGGATTTTCACAGTCTGCACGATAGTTTTATCTTATCGGTAAGTGTTCTAAAACTGTTTCAATGACCACAAAATTTTTGTATAATGTTTATATATCAACAATTTATCAATTAGGATGATTTTTAGTAAATAGTTATTTGTGTTGCCCATACTCTTTAAACTAGCTGTCATGGACGCTATTGAAACAATAACGCCATCAGATATGGCAGGTTACTACCGGGCGACGTCGCACATGTTTCCTGAGCATGAATGAAATTTGCGTAAAAAATTCCCTTGAAAACTGACATTCTATAATTAGAAATGACGCTTTAGCCTTTACTCGTTTGAATGTTGTGAATATTTTCCAGCATCATGGCCCAGCAACATGGAACAATTTTCAAATGTTTTATATTGTTTTTATCGCAATATTTTACTTGAAACAAATTCAATATCAAATTATTAAAATGACAAAAAGGTTTGAAAAGTAAACAGTTTTATACTGTAGCAAGTTTATATTTCAACATGACATTGTTGGATGATGTTGCATGGAGGGTACCTAAATATCGAGTCAGGATTCGAGCCAGGACTCGAGCCAGGACTCGAGGTAGTACTCGAGCCAGGACTCGAGCCAGGACTCAAGCTAGGACTCGATTCAGGACTCGATTCAGGACTCGATTCAGGACTCGAGCCAATAATGACGCCAAGTGATTTTGATGGATGAAAATTTACCAACAGCGTTCTCACTTTTAAGGAACTTTCCTTAAATTTAGACTATTCGTTCACCAACAATGCGAAATGTTTAAGGAAATTTAACTGAATCTGAGGAACTGTTTATCGATAACCTAATGAATGTTTGGCAAATGGGAAGTGAGAGAACTTGTTTACCAAATCAATTTCCCGCCTTTTTTCGCCAGATTCGATAAAAGAAACCAAAGAACGAACGTTGATATTTGGTATATTTGTACATACAGAGCTGTAAATCTCATCTGACTTTGGCTATTAAGGGGCCGATTACATGGAGCATTTTCAACCCCGGAGTTGAACTCAGCCCTGTTAACCGGGTTGAATTTTTTTGCGATTACATGAACGATTTCAACCCCGGGGTTAAAACGTTATACTATACGTTCTCGGCATCGATTCGCGGAAGTAAAAAGCCTTTATTTTGTTTTCTTGTAATAAATAGTCACTACCACGCATGCTCGAATAACTCATGATAATTTCAGCCCTGGGTTGAAACGATTACATGACAAAATTTTCAACCCAGGGCTGAGTTCAACCCCGGGGTTGAAATTTCAACCCTGCTAGATTAGGGCAGGGCTGAGTTCAACCCCAGGGTTGAAAATTATGTAATCGGCCCCTAACTGTAACGGTTATTAGCGTCGGAAGACAGTGAATGAAACAATAGTCAATACCATTGTTGTTGTTTGTCTTTGATACATTGCACATATATCGATATCCAAAAAAGGGAAATATCCGGCCAGTATTTTATCGAACTAAAACAGTTGGTATTGCCCATCACTAGCAGTCTCTCGCTCTTTACAAAACAGATACTTGTTGCCACTCATCCCTTACGAAAATTTCCTATAGGAATTCCTATAGGAAATCAAAATTCCTATAGGAATTCCTATAGGAATTGAAAATTCCTATAGGAATTCCTATATGAATTGAAAATTCCTATAGGAATTCCTATAGGAATTGAAAATGGTCAAAAAAATTCCTATAGGAATTCCTATAGGAATTGAAATTTCCTATAGGAATTCCTATAGGCATTGAAAATTCCTATAGGAATTCCTATAGGAATTAAAATTTCCTATAGAAATTCCTATAGGCATTGAAAATTCCTATAGGAATTCCTATAGGAATTGAAATTTCCTATAGGAATTCCTATTGGCATTGAAAATTCCTATAGGAATTCCTATAGGAATTGAAAATGGTGAAAAAATTCCTATAGGAAAAAATATTCCTGTTATAGGATTGGAAAATGGTTATAGGAATTCCAGTAGGAAATGAAAATTCCTATAGGATTTGAAAATGGTGAAAAAAAATCCTATAGGAAATAGAATTCTTATAGGATTGGAAAATGGTGGGAAAAATTCATAGCCTATACCACTATGGCCTGATACATGCATGGGTATAAGAACTTTACATATATAAAAAATTATACAGATAAATATAATTTACGAAATAACTCCTTCCTACAGGAATTTCTATTTCTTATAGGAATTTTTTCACCATTATCATATCCTATAAGAATTCTTATAGGAATTTTAATTTCTTATACAACTACACTATTCCTATATCGTATTTTACTCATAGACATTTATTAATAGAGAATTTAATAGTAATACTGGGACTATTTATTTTCTAAGATTAAATGAATAATTACTGCAATGTGCGCGACTGACAGACTGGTGTCTAGTTTTCTTGCCACTAGGGATGGGCGATACCAGCTTTTTCATTCGATACGATATTTGCTCGATATTTGCAGTTTTTTTTCGATATCGATACCGATATCGATATTTTCCCAACTTGAAATCATTAACAACGGCCACAACGCTAACAATATAAACATTGAATAATATATGTCAGTGATTGCAACCAACATAACCAGAAACTCCCATCCTTCCCGTGGACCATTATAGCACCATAGAAAATGAACTATTTACGCGCGCCTATTTAGGCTTTTTGGTATCATTTTCATGATGCCGCTGACCAAAATGAAAAATATCGCGGGCGCAGAAATATCGAAACATCGATATTTCTTGCCAGTATCGATACTTTTCTTCAAAACCCTGGTATCGATAGTATCGAGTATTTGGTATCGATATCGGCCCATCCCTACTTGCCACGCGCGCAAAGCATCAAGGGATAGATCATCACACCTCCGATATTTTTTCAAGTCAGTGTTTGTCAATGGTTTATGTGCAAAATAGAACTATTTTTTATGGGATTCAACTGGATTTTCACTAGTAATACATCAGGGATGTTTGCATAATGTTCAGGTAAGAATAAGTTTATATTTTATTTATAATAAAGCAAATTATAGGGGAAATACCTCCAATCTTCATTTGTGAAATTCGAGCATGTGGTTCGATAAAATTTGAATTTGCCGCGACAATATAAACGGAATTAGAATGCTGATATAAATATATTTATAGCATTTATACTTCACCAAATGCTACTATAAAAGTCTTATATTTGAATCAGACTTACCATGTTTATTAATATATTTGTATATCCCAAGTGCCAACTGTATATGCCAGATTAATTGTAAATTGTCAGCCATATTTAATGCATGCCTATAGAAAATTTAACTACTTGCTCAAATCAGCAGCAGTATTTATTCATATGTTTTGTTTAAATTAAACAATTTTCATTTTGAGAGGTCTTGCACCAGTCAATGTATTAAAATCTGTTAGCCTTTAGACATGCTTTAGTGTAATGCCAGGAAAATTATCCATGTTTTTCTATTAATTAAACCACAGTTTATAAACATAACTATGTGATGGTATTCAAATTAACCAGACTCTCTGCTAGTTTACATTTCATGCTAACTTGTTAAGATGAATGTGCTCAACTTTCAGTACTTTTTTATTTTACCTTGTCTAACACCAGATCATTTTACTTGAAAGAGAGTGGACAACTTTGATAGGTTACTTGCTGTCTCCCTGTGTTTTGTGTAAACTCATTAAGACCCAAATCACAGATTCACACTAATGCGCTCTATTTCAAAGCTCAATATTTTGCCCTGTTAATACCAGACTATTTTGCATTATTTGGCATTACTAGCACATTTAGATGCAATTCACCCTAACACTCAATCCCCACTTTCAGTACTTTGATATTTATCAGATGATTTTACTCATCAAAATAAATGTTGGTCATTGAAAGGTTAATAATTAACTGCAAAAGCTGCTATGTGGCATATTTAGAAGCAATGTGCCCTACTTTTAGTACTTTGTTATTTTACTGTGTTTATTCTATTAAAGTGGTAGACTCTCCACTTAGAGTAAAATAATAAATTTGGTGCATTTGGGCATATTTAATGGGTTAACAAAACACATTGGAATGGTAGACATCAAATAAATGTATTTGTCTTTTTCCAGCTATCAACAAAGTATGGATGTAAGGCCTCAGAGGTTCGTCAACATATGAGGACAAATATAAACAACATGGGAAAGTGTTGCAAAGTACAGAAAAGCAAACAAGAACAAGAACTTATTTGAGGACTATGTTTTGAGGCCAGTTTAAAACTTAACTTTAAATGTCAATTATGGTTATTACCTATGGTTTAGCCCATTAAGCGCCAGCGCTCTGACGAGTAAAATCGTCTGGCGTTAGACAGAGTAAACTATAGTAAAATAATAAAGTAGGCGCATCAGGGCGCAATGTGATTCAATGGGTTAACTAGACACATATATATAGGAATATAGGTAGGCTAGTTAACCCATTCGGAGCCAGCATTTCCCCTTGACATTCAAGTACAATTGTCTGGAGTTAGACAGAGTAAAATAGTCTGGCATTAGACAAAGTAAAATAGTTAGGCAGAGTAAAATAATAAAGTAGGACGCATCATATGGCATTGCATTGAGGTAGAACGATTAATTTGTCACAATAGGTGAAAACTATAATTGACTTGTAATGTTTAGTATAACCAATTTCTCATATTAATTTTTATATTTGCAATATTAATTAGTATTTATTAATTAATATTTATATCTATTTTTTGCATTAAAAAATTAAGAGTGATGAACAACATTGTCTGTCATTTACTATTATTTCATCTAGATTCTAGAATTTCTGCAGGAATACCAAAAATCTTATAGGAAATTAGAATAAATTATTTTCTTATAGGAAATTCCTATAATAATTTGGGACTAGACTTGAGAATTCT